GGGGGGGGGTTGTGCCTTCTAGTCAGTTTTGACTGCTAGCAACAGCCTAGAGGAGTGTCTGCTATTTTCTTGGCAAGTTTTTTGGAAATGATTTGCCACTGCTTTTTTCCAAGGGCTGAGAGATGTGACTGGCCCATTACCTTGTTGCCAATGAATGTAATCAATAATTAGTTGTAAGTAAAAGTCAGATGAAAAGGTAGAAAATGGTAGTGAAAAAATGAACAGCTGCAAGTTGTAGCTTTTGCCCTGAAGAAATATTTAAAATGGAATTGTTATTTTCTAGGCTGTTTTGACTCCTTTACTGCCACACCAGAAGCAAGCTTTAGCTTGGATGATTTTGCGAGAGAACAATAAGGATCTTCCTCCATTTTGGGAAGAGCGTGATAACTTCTTCTACAATACAATTATACATTTTGCTGAAAAAAATAGACCAGAGAATGTGCTCGGAGGAATATTGGCAGATGATATGGGACTGGTAACTATTTTGCATGAGGATGTGGCTAGTTATCTGTCAAGAATATTTTAATTTGGATTCTTCACTGCACAGGGATCTGAAAAGCTGATTCCAACTCTCTGCTTCTATGAAAAAAATGGTAACCAATTGTTCAATGTATTTTAGGGCAAAACACTTACTATGATTGCAGTAATTCTTACCAACTTCCATAATGGGAAGCCTCTTCCTCTTGAAAAGAAAGTTGATCAACTGAAAGAGGTGGGATATTTATCATCTATCATTCTGTTAAGTATTTAAGTAAAAAATAATCCATATATTTAAAGTAAGAGAAGAAACAGAACAATTAATTTTTTTCTTCTGTTTTACCTTTTAGAAATATATTCCTACTGCACAAAACAACTTACAAGGTAATTTGGTCAAAATATATACTGATTTGAGAATATTTATTTCAGATCTGTCTCAGATTCATGTGAAGTTAACATGTAAATTAAATCTCATTAAAGTCTGAAGCATGTCCTAGTCTGGATTGAATTCCTTAAAAATGAATTAGAGAAATTCTTTTTTTTACATTAAATATGTTTGTTTTCCAATGGCTTTACTTCTAAAATATTTTTTTTTAAATTTTCTCATAAGCACTGAATTGTGGCTTGCGGCTGAATGCTTCCAATTCAAAAGAGGAAAGTGACTCTTTTCCCTCACAATCTTCCAAGCCCTATCCAAAAAGGTAGAACTTTTCCCATTCTATTAAGAATGTGTATGCTTTGAAACATATTCAAAATTTGGATATTGCATAAATACCCTTCTCTTTTGTTCATTAAATTAGTATTTCCTAACCTTGATAACTTGCCAGGATTGTGCACTTCAGCTCCCATAATTCTTATCAATGGTCCTATTGGTTGTGGATTTCTGGGATTTGAAGTCCACACACATGGAAATTGCCAATGTTGGGAAACAGTGCACTGAAGGAACCTGATTTTTTTCTGAGGAACCAATTCCTTAAAGTCCAGGCGACTCTTGACAAATAGCAGCGTGTTATTTTTTCATTCAGATTTGCCCAGAAGCCGGGAAAAAAATCGAGTTCTTTAATGAACAGCATTGTGAAAAAAAATGACTTACTATCATTTTTCACACTTATGACCATTGTAGCATCCTCATGATCATGTTATCAAAATTCATACTCTTGTCAACTGGCTTATGTGATGGTTTCAGTGTCCTGGAGTCATGTGATCACCTTTTCACTTTTTGACAAGCAAAGACATTGGGGAAGCTAGATTCATTTATGTTATTATCTTAACAACTGCAGTAATTCACTTAACCGTGGCAAGAAAGGGCGTAAAATGGGGCAAAATTCACTTAACAAATGTCTCGCTTAGCAACATAAATTTTGGGCTCAATTACGGTTGTACGTCAAGGACTACTTGTAAGTTTGCCCTATAAAACAACCATAATAATCTCTTACTTATGTAGGCAGGTATTTAGATGTTTATTAATTTGAAATGAAGTTTTTATCTTTAAAATATGGTATCCAGCATGATGTTTATTTTTTAAATTAGAATTCTAAGAACTTTCTTTTATTTTTATATTTCTCTCTCATTTCTTGAACTAAAGACTCTGGTTAAATATTTATGTGCTCATTTATGTATTTAATATATTGGATTTTAGGCTGCCTGACTCCCAATAGCCTGGGCACCTTACAATGTTTAAAAGAATGAAAATTTTAAAAAGGAAGATACTGCCTGGATAAAACCACATAGATAACATCTAGAAAAAAATGTCAGGGGCTCCATAAATAACCTGGGAACAGAGCAAAGTATTTAGAGACTTCCAGAATATTTAAAGGGTGTGAGCTCTACAGCCCTTCTAAATCTTGAGGAATGATGCTGTTCCAGAGGGCAAATGTGCCAGATGTCCTCATGCTGCTTATTTTTGAAATCTCACACTAAATAGTTTTGAAGAATTTCTTAGCACTTACGTTTTCTTTTCCCAGTGAAAATGATTTGTGTATTATCTCTTTCTCAAATATACACACAAAAATAGTTGGCTGTGTTTCATGACTTTGAACCAACAAATAGATACTGTAGTATATGATTCTTTATGGTTCAGTGTGATATGTTAATTCATGAAATTGGATTATTGGAGTAAGCCTTGAGTTAAGTTAACCATGCTAAGTGTTTAGTACAGACATACCTAGTGGATTCCTACATATTCTGATTTGGTTTGACCGTGGCTTCTACCTAAAATAAGATAGTATGGGCAACTTGTTGCCTTCTGCATATTGGGGAATTACAGCTCACAATATCCTTTTCATTGTTTTATACTATTGGGACTACTGAGGTTTAGACTTCAGCAATATCTGGCAGCCACATACTACAGAAACTACTTTTTGTTGTAAAATGGGTGGGATATCTAAATTTTGAGGAATGAGTTGCACAACTATTGACTATCTCAATTCCAAGCTCAGAATGACTGGCAAAGATGGTTGTAGTCAACACTGCTTTATTTTATCCATCCATCCACCCATTCAATTTCTTAATCATCCACCTCCCTCAGATGGGTCTTACTTAGGTCAACAACCTTCTTTATAGATTGAGCAAGTAAAATTGGTAGCTTAAAATAATTGGATATGAACATATAAAATATTGCTTTTCTCCCCCCTCTCCCCCTCATTTTTGGTGCTTTAGAGTTATGGACAAGAAATCAAAGTACACAATAAGCAGTGTCACAGAACCTGACCAAGAAGTTGCACAACAAATAAAAAGTGAGTTACAGTTATTTTTGATTCTATTATTTTCTTAGTATCTTTTCAATTTTTCTTACTATGATAACATATTTTGTTTTCCAGCTAAAGGAAAAAACCCAAAATCAAGAGCAAGGAAAAGGAAAGTAGGTAATGATACTTCACCATTCTGTTTCTTCTCTTCCGATTCCTTAGAAATCTGATAATACTAGGATACTTTTAAAAACTGCACTGATTATTGTTGTGGGATTGCAGAATAGCAGAATTTGAAGGGATTTTGGAGTCTTCTAGTTTAAATTAGGTAGGTAGGTAGATATGTGACCTAATATTGGATTATATAGTGCTTGTAGCTATCCTGAAGGTCTTGGTATTGCTTATTACAAAGAGATAGATAAAAATCAACTGGATTTGTTGAATTTAATAATTATTTAATCAATAGTGGCAAATCATGAGCCAGAATTAATTTCTTTTTTTTACTTCAGCTATGATTCTGCATATAGTTTAATTCCTTCTTCCAGTTTTCATTTGTACCCCTATATCTGACTGCTTTTAGCAAAATTTACAAGATGTCCTTTGCTTTCTTCCATCTCGTATATAATGATTTGGGAGCCTCACTGGGTGGGGATAAGGATCCAGGGAAGGAGTAATTGATTGTTATCATGAATCTATTGTGTGTGTAACTATTTTAACTTTTTCATCAACTATGATAAGGAAAATAATGGCTTGCATAAATGTATACATCAATGTATAAATCAAGATATGCATGTTACAGCTACAGCTGTCTATATAAATGATGTAAATATAAATACATGCATATCTTTGATTTTAAATTTATATTATCTTGACTCGTGTATCTTCTGTTGAAGATTAAGCAAAAAGTTATCCAAACATGAAACTACTAAATTAGTAGTTAGTGTATAGCTCAGAATGAATGGCTGCATTTTATGTTACTTAAGAATTTCAATGGCTGGGTAGTAAAACAGGTATCAGTAGGATTATAGATGATATGTTTGGAGTAGAAATATCTTCTTATTAGCATGTAGTTTTTTCCTTAACTGAATAACATTAAATGAACTATATAAGTACCATAGCATATTCAAATTGATAATTGTGTTTTTTCCTTCTCTCCAAGATGATGTTCCTGTACAACCAAAGAAAAATGAAGTTGATAATGTTAGAGGGACGCTGATAATTTGTCCACTTTCTGTCCTAAGTAACTGGATTGTAGGTTTATAATTTATATAGTTTGTACTTCCTAATGTTTATAGATTGCAACTCTTAAATGAACGAGGTTTTTTCTATATTGAATTAAGTAAAACACTGTTTTTTCTTTAAATTCTTTTTCAACCAGAATATTGCTTTGACAAGAAAATGTACGGTGCATTCAGAAAGTATTCAGACCTCCTTCACTTTTGTCAATTTTGTTATGCTGCAGTCAGATTCTACAGTTGTTGAAATTCATTTTTTTCTCATTAATCTATACTCAGTGCCCCATAATGACAAAGTGAAAACAGAATTTTAGAAATGTCGGTAAATTTATTAAAAAGAAAAAAACAAATATCATATTGGCATAAGTATTCAGACCCTTTGCAACAACACTTGAAATTTAGCTCTGGTGACTCCCATTTCTTTTGATTGTGGCTGACATATTTCTATACCTTGATTGGAATTGAGGAAAAAATAGGACTGGTAGGTATGTTTGCCACCTTGGTGTCCCTGAAGGTTTTACCCTGCTAGTTGTGACTGACTTTAGAGAGTAGTGTTCATCTCCATTTCTTAAGCAGAGAGCTAGCATTGTCTGGCGATGTTTTCCACAGTCATGTGGCTGGCATGACATCACACCACAGCAGAGAGTGGTGAAACTCAGAACGATGTTACCTTGCCGCATGCTTATTTGCCCTACCTATTTATCTACCTGCATTTGCATGCTTTTGAACTGCTAGGTTCGCAGGAGCTGGGACAAGTGATGGGAGCTCTTGGGTTTTGAACTGTTGAGCTGTAGACCTTTAGTAGTCTTAAGACTCAGCATCCTAATAACTTTGAGTTATATATAAAAAAGGCAGGATATGATGATGATGCAGTTTCAACTTTCACCAAAGGAACTAAATCTCTTAATTCCTATACCTGAAAAAGGGCACATTATTTTTTAATTTTCTTCAGTACAAGGCCTGAGGGAATAATCACAAATGTCACATATTAAAACTAATGTTTATTCCTCTGGAATCATAACTGAAGAAACACCTGACATTCCTCTGGAATCATAACTGAAGAAACACCTGACAGCAAATAAATCTGTTTTAGGTGAATAATTATCCCTGTATAGCTTATTTTTTTGTACCAGGAAACTTAATGTAGCACGGATTAGAGCAGAATTTGCAGGCTATAAAATTTATGGCACAGCCAGTTAATTGTACTTTTTGGTCAATTCTCATTTTAGGACCAACTTGATCAACATGTTGATCCAAATATTCAGCTAAACACTTACGTTTACTACGGCTCAGAACGGAACAAAGATCTGACAGTACTTTCCAAGCAGGATATTGTCTTAACAACATACAATGTTTTAGCTACTGACTATGGGGTGAGTATACTGAAAAATTCCAAGAGCTTTTTTTTTTAGAAAGAAAGAAAGAAAGGAGTAATGCAAAATTCATACAAATTAGACATTTGTTCATGCTGAATTTAGTTTCATACTTTTTAAAACTGCTGGGAATAGTTTCATTGTGCTGCTTGTGTTTTTCAAATCCTTCATGCATTGTTGTTTGGTATTAAGGAGGTTATAGTTTTCTAACAGGGCTGTTTTATGCTTGGCTGCTAGATTTCATCTAATATTACCTCTATTGATCCTACCTCCTTTAAAAGGCTGAAAATAACTTGATAGAGCTGAAAATTGTAAAAAAAAGTAATGCTTTCTTCAAAGAGAGCTTGATTCCGGCTGACTTCATGTTGTTTTCCTGGGAACAGTATGGAATTGATTTGCTATTGCCTTTTTTCATGTATTCCTCGAGTTTGTCCATTCAAGTTTTAATCAGGCCTGACCCTATTTAACCTTTGGGCCCAGACAAAGTCAGCTACTGTCTGCTGATATTGACAATTATAGGGATGGCACAGAACTGGTAATCTAAACATGAATCCAGCTGTTAATAGTCTGCTGTGAGAATGGTTTTTACAGAAGTAAAAAGAACTTTCAATATTCCAGATTTTATTTTATTTTGTATTTATTGTATTGTATTTATTAAATAAATAGATTTATATGGCCGCCTAATTCAAACACAATGACTTCTATTCCACTTTGTAAAATTATTCTTCTGGGGAAATTCTCAGAATTTCTCTCTCTGTGTGTTTTAAATAAGATGACTCATCCCCAAATGCTTGTTCAACATTTTATTTATTTCAGATACCAAAATAGCTAATATATTTTCCCTCTTCCACTTTGTAAAATCATAAATGCTCTTCTGATGAAGTTATCAAAAACAAAAAATATTTGTCTTTGTATGTATTTTAATAACAACAAAAAAAACCTCACCCCCAAATGCTTGTTCAACATTTTATTCATTTCAAATACAAAAATGGCTAATATATATATTTTTCCAGACTGGAGATAACAGTCCTTTACATAAATTAAAGTGGCTGAGAGTTGTGTTGGATGAAGGTCATACAATACGAAATCCAAATGCTCAACAGACAAAAGCTGTTCTAGACCTGAATGCACAAAGAAGATGGATCTTGACAGGTATTTATACTGTAGATTCAATATTGCAGTATATACCAGGTTGGGGACAGTTGTCTTAAGAGAATGCTGCATCCTCCTAACCATTGTTCATGGTCCTTCTCTTTGAGAATTTGAATCACCACATATATATACAAATTTGAGGAATGATAATAAGATTCAGTAGTTCAGTTCAGTCTTGTGCAGGTGGTCCCCAACCTTTGAACATTGTTCAGTAATTGTTTGAAATTACAGTGGGGCTGAACAGAGGGACTTGTGTTCAAGTGTCCAATGTAAGGACTATTGCAACACCCCCCCACACACAATCATATCATTAAAAAAACCTGCACTTTACTACCACATGGCTGCTGCAACTCTTCCCACTTGCCTATCTCCCACACCCCTGATTTCAGCCACCCAAATGGCCCACTAATGCACGTAAAACTGCCGTAGCCTGAGAAGCCTTATCACCCAGCCAGCCCACCAGAGCAAGCAAAGCTGCTGTGCTTCAGGAAGACTCACTGCCCACCCAGCCCAGCATTGCAAGCAAAGCAGCCTCAGTTCAGGTAGCCTCATTCTCCCACTCACTCACCAAGCCTACTTGGCCATTTTTCTAACAGGCTCTGTTCTTGCAATTCTTTGGAAGCAACCTCTATAGGAGAAAGGCTCAGATGGTGGTGTGAGGCAGCCTAAGTAAGAAGGCTACGTTCTCATAGACTGGTGTTGGAACCAATCTGGTCACTAAATGAGAAGTGGAGTATGAGATACTTTTTTATTAAACAATCCTTGAGACTTATTTTACCTAAACCGAGTAAGCATGATGCACAGCATATTTTTTTCTGTCCTTGTTTCAGGCACACCTATTCAGAATTCTTTAAAGGACTTGTGGTCTCTCCTTTCCTTCTTAAAGTTGAAGCCTTTTACAGAGAGAGTGTGGTGGCACAGAACAATCCAGCGGCCTGTCACTATGGGAGATGAAAGAGGGCTTAAGTATAAACTGCATCTAATATATTCTAGATATTCTATAAAGATTAGCACAATACATGTGTAAACTAGTACTTTTAGCATTTAAAATATTCTTTAAAACACTTTAAGTATTGAAACCTTCAAGTTTAGATAACATTCAGAAAATATTCAACTTTACCTTGTGCACAAGAGCTAGCTTTGCGATTGTGTGTATAGCATGTCTGATATTATAGATTGCTTTGTGAATATTTCCATATTTATGTGTGATATTTTTGTGAATGTTTCCATATTTTCTGATTGATATGATTATAGATTGTTTGAATATTTCTGTATTTTCCTAGGCGTTTACAATCTCTGATTAAGAGCATTACTCTTCGAAGAACTAAAACAAGCAAAGTTAACGGGAAGCCAGTTTTGAAGCTCCCAGAACGTAAAGTATTTATTCAGCATATTACACTTACAGATGAAGAGAGTGCCCTCTATCACTCTGTGAAAAATGAGACTAAAGCTGCTATAAGCAGGTAAATAGTGCCAGCTGTTAAATGGAAAAATATATATATTTCATTACCTGTATTAAATTCTGATTTATATAAAGAAGTGGATTTTATACAGAATTACATTTGTATAAGAGGAAATCTTATACACGCCTGCATGAACGGGCGGAGGTCATTCTGATTGCCCCACATTGGCTGAGGCGTCTGTGGTTCGCCGACCTGGTGGAGCTTTCCATCTCTCACCCGTGGAGGATTCCCTCAGGTCGTATCGTCCTCAGCCAGGGAGTACTCCAACATCCGGATCCCCAGTGGCTCCAACTAACCGCTTGGCATTTGAGCGGCGGGCCTTGACCCGAAACTCATATTCGTCGAGGGTGATAGCCATGATCCAGCAATCCAGGCGCCCCTCCACGAATAGGATTTATGATGCCGCATGGAGGAGTTTCTGTGCCTGGTGTTCAGGGCACAAAGTAGAACTTTCGGACATCACTATTCCCGTTGTTGTTGTGGAATTCCTGATGGATGGGTTGGACAAGGGATTATCCCCAAACACCATCCGCAGACAGGTTTCAGTCCTCTCCATGGTGATATTGTGTGACAATTCCGCCCCCCTGGTGCAACACCCTACGGTGCGTTCCTTCCTAAAAGGGGCAACTAACGCGGTCTGCCGTTATCCCTCTTGGGACCTACCCCGGGTCTTACAGGCCCTCACCTCGCCACCCTTTGAGCCCATTACCACGTGCTCCCTGAAACTGTTGTCTATGAAGGTGGCTTTCCTTGTAGCGGTCACGTCGGCCAGGCGAATTTCAGAGCTGGCCCCCCTCTCCGTCAGAGAGGACCTGTGCGTTTTCCTTGCAGACAGGGTGACCCTGCGTCTGGATCCTTCCTTTGTTCCCAAGGTTAATTCCTTGTACCATAGGTCCCAGGAGGTGGTGCTTCTTAACTTCTGCCCTAACCCATCTCACGAGCTAGAAAAACAATAGCATACTCTGGATGTTCGCAGGGCCCTGCGGCGTTACATCAAACGGACCTCTGCCTTCCGTAAATCCTAGGCACTGTTCGTTTCCTTTCAGCCCTCGTCCATGGGTCAGAAGGTTTCCTCCTCGACTGTAGGCAGGTGGATCCGGGCTTGCATTGCCCAAGCTTATCGGTCCCAATCATTGACCGTCCCCGGTCACATCACTGCCCATTCCACCTGCAGTGCAGCTACATTGGCGGCTTGGGATACCCAGGCACCTATCTGGGAGATCTGCAGGGCGGTGACGTGGTTCTCGCCTTCTTCGTTTGTCAAGCATTATAGGATTGACAAATTTGCCTCCTCGGATGCCTCGTTCGGACGGAGGGTGTTACAGCAAGTGGTATCTACCAGTGGAACTCCGGCCCAAACTGCTTCCCCCCCTTTGGGACAACAGGGCTTTGGTATGAGCCACTAGTGAATTCTTCATCCAATTGTGCTGGAGAAGGGGCGTTATCTTACCTGAACGCCTTTTCTCAGCATGATGATGGAGAATCCAAACCCTCCCCATTTTAGTATCTGTTTGGTCCTGTGTACAGTATAGGATGAGCACACGCGTTGGACTAACGTCTGTGCCTCGCCTTCGTTGCAAACGGGGGTGCTCTTGCACAGCAGAGGCGTGGCAACTTTCCAGACTTAGTCTTATTGGAGCAGGAAGATTAACCTACTAGTGGATTTTCCATCATCATGCTGAGAAAAGGCGTTCAGGTAAGACAACGCCCCTTCTAATCAGTTGTTGCATGGTTGTATGTTTATACAAAGTGGGCTTTTCTCTAAGTACAACTGCAAGTTTAAGTAAGTGTGAAAAACAGTCATAAGTCACTTTTTTCAGTGCTGTTGTAACTTCAAACAGTCACTATACAAACTTTTCAGTCGAGGACTATCTGTATTGTATACTTTAGTTAGGCTGTGACTCATTAGTTCAATTTTATAATCTTTTTTGCTGCTAAAAATGGTATTCATGTGCCTATGTGTTTCTGCTTTTGTTGATGGGTGTCAAAGAAATTGTAAGATCTATTATATATTATGTTATGCATCTATTATATTATGTGCTGTCAGTGGTGTCCATCATGAAAGATAAAACAAAGTGGAATCTAAAAAATGAAGCACAATTTATATAGAATGACCTAAATTGCACTCAGAGATAAAACTAAAAATTTCCTAATGTGAATATAATGGGAAGAAGCTTGTTTTAAGACATGAGAGCTCGTGAAAAAAAATGAGAAAATGCTTGGTTTACTGGATCAAAATTTTTGCAAAATTCTATTCCAATGCAATAATTTTGATCCAGTAAATAGAATTTGCAAAATCCTATTATAACAAGTTTGTTTTACTATAAAAATTATTCTTTAGGTATTTTAATGAGGGAAGTGTTTTGGCCCACTATGCAGATGTTCTTGGTGCTTTGCTCAGATTGAGACAATTGTGCTGTCACCCATCTCTCTGTTCCAATATCTCTCTATCCAGTTCTCTAGAAGGTGAGTACATTTTAACACTTCAGTAGATATGTAACCTGATTTTTTTTATTAGCTGTTATATAATAGAGTGGTATTTTGTAACTGCATATATATCAGGGTTTCATTGTTTCAGTTCAGAAGAAGAAGCATTGTGATTTGAGAATCAGATAAGACTGCTGACAAATACTGAATCCCAAAAGCTCTTTTTTTGGAATTGAATCTGAAGCACAGTCCTAATATATACATAGCTTACACGCTCTATCTGTAGTATTTATTTTTAATGTGTAGGTACTTCTGAAGAACTGCGTGACAGATTAATACAGAAGATGAAGTTGGTTCTAAGCTCTGGATCAGACGAAGAATGTGCTATTTGCTTGGAATCGTTGGCTGTTCCTGTGATAACACACTGTGCCCATGTGTTCTGTAAGCCGTGCATTTGTGAAGTCATCCAAAGAGAAAAGGCAAGTTATTACCATCAGTTACCTGCACAAATTATTTCAGAGTGATGTGCATTAGTCCAAGATGAGTGGGCAGTACTTCGTTCTTTTATTTTCTTCTGCTCACACTAATGTGAATGTTCTCTAGTGTCCTATGGCTGGGGTCCTCAACCTGCAGCCCGTGGACCATTGGGAACTGGGCCACTCAAGTGACAGGCAAGCATGTGAAGGTAGCCCACGTGAAACCCACTTTGCCACCACTGCTGGTCCGCGGAGCCAGAAAGGCTGGGGATAGCTGCCCTACATTACTTTCACACTGAACTTAATGCCTCTAGAAACAGTTTTTGTCCTTTTTATATGTAATATTTATTTAAAGTTAAACTAATGAGGTATCAGCTGATTTTAGATGTTATTTAGATGATTTATCTGCAGCTCTGTTATGTAATTATATAATATATAATTATATCTGCAGCTCTGTTATATAATTATATAATATATAATTATATCTGCAGCTCTGTTATATAATTATTTTAAATGTACTTCTGTCTGTACAGCTCATCAATTATATGAGAATTTGAAAAAAAAATATTCGCTATTAGATCAACTACTAAGCCTCTGCAAGAATGCGTTCTTAAGCAGTGCAACTATATCTTGTCAGTCAGCTAAACTTCCTTGGGAAAAAAGGTTCTTATATCTCTATATTTTAGATTAAAAATTCATATAATCTCCTGGAATAACTGTCTTCTGAGGCAGCACAAATACATATTGGGTCTACTCTTTCTAGACTAATTAATATAAATACATATTTTTACTCTAAACCTTTTTTTGTGGCATTATTTGCTTCCAATTGTGTGCATTTTTTACAATAAATAGTTTTGTTTTTCAGGCATATGCAAAATGTCCTCTTTGTAGAAAGGAAGTTTCGTCAGAACATTTAATAGAATGCAATTTGGAAGAAAGTCATGATGAAAAAAATACTAAACAACAATGGGTATCTAGTTCAAAGGTAAATTCTACATTTCATATGTGTGTGTGTCTGCTTCAGAAAAATGTGTTGAAGTACACCAAACTATTGCATTTCAAATAGTACAATATTTGGATAAATTATTTAGAAACTGGATGTTTTGAATTCAGTTGAATGGGTACTTCGAGGTATTTTCCTCTGAGCAATGGTTAGAGGAGGAACATTTATGATGGGGGGAGCATTAATGATGGGGAGGAACCTTTCAGTATTGGAGCAAATTTGAACTGTCGGTCTTGTAGATCTGCTTACAAAGAAAAATGCTAACTAAATAATCTTTCTCAATGACCATAAACAGTTCCAAATGGATGCAGTAGAACTCTGCTGCATAAGCAAGTTGCTATTCAGTGTGGCACAAAGGTTGTTGGCATTCATTCAGCCAGTCTTGCCAATTTCCTGCCTTTGCCTTGTTGTTACTTTATCTACTATGCTGGTATGTGGTTGTGAACTTGTTTTTAGCTGCAGCCAGTCTGACTCTAGAATTTCGATATCTGGATTCTCTTGACTGAAATTTAGTTAAAATTTAAAAGAGGCAATCAGTGATCAATTAATGCTTAATCATGATGTGCAAAAGATTGTTTTGGGTAGGTAGTATGTGCCATATTGGGATACCGGTAGTTAAGATGGCTGCAGAAAGGCTGAGATTTTTGGAGTGTTCAGTCTTCCTTAATCTCAGCCATGATATAAAAACAGCAGTACTCCTTAGAAAATGCTAGGAAAACTTTCAAAGATTTGCACTGGCTTGCCTGTATGTATTTCTCTAAATTAAGGGGGGGGGGAGTTGGATTTTTGGATTAAACGGAACCTTCCAACTTTGTGATAAGACATCTGAATAAAAATCAATATGTAAATAAAGATTGTAAATTTGATTCTGTAATTATTACTTTTCAAAAACCATTCTATACAGCACTAAAATATGAATCAATTATTTCTCAGGTTTAACCATTTAGATCTCTGAACTATAACTTTCCATAAAAGAAAACTAGCTTTCTTTCTAGACTTCAATAGTATTAGTTTGGGAAAGCTAATTTGCTTAAATTTAATTTGCTTAAGTTACAAGGACATTGCATAGTTGGGTGTAGAAAATGAAATCACATTCGGTTGGCAAATAAGATAGAAGATGCGCATGGATTTCATGGATAATGAAAAAGCCAGAAAAAAGAAAAAATATTTTAAAAATTAAAAAGAATTATTTTGTCTTTCAGGTCAATGCACTGATGCATGCTTTGATTGAGCTAAGAAAACAAAATCCAGCTATTAAAAGTTTAGTTGTTTCACAGTTCACAAAATTTCTCTCTGTAATAGAAACTCCACTAAAGTAAGTAAAATGTGTTCTTGAATAAAATTATTCTAAGAATAATTTATTTTTTTAAAAAAATAAATTAAATTAATTAAATTTAAACCTTGCCCAGAGTAACTGGCAGTTGGGCAGCATGTGTATGTTAATAATAATAAAATAACAATAAAAATGTGATTTGGAGAACATTTTAAAATCAAAACTTCATTCCAAGGATCAGAATATAAACAGACTGACACTTGTATAACCTGCTGCTCTTGTTTCTCAGGGAATCTGGATTTTTCTTCGTTCGTTTAAATGGGTCTATGAACCAGAAACAAAGAGTAGAAGCAATTCAGCAGTTCCAAAGCCATGAAACTGGGTCTCCAACTATAATGTTGTTATCACTGAAAGCTGGTGGAGTTGGTTTGAATCTAACAGCAGCTTCCCGGGTATTTTTAATGGATCCTGTAAGTATAAAGTCCCTGCTGACATTTAATATTCCACGCAACCAATTTAGACACTTAAGCAGGAATGAGGAATTTCTTTGCAGGCTACTTCTAGTATTGAGGAGGAGGGAACAACTTTTAATCAATTTGGCTGTGTTAGGATTAAAACCTGAGCTATTATCTATATAATATATGTGTGCTCTTCATTAATTCTCTGATTAGCACAACATTTTGAAATGGAATGCTTGCCCCTCCCTCCAAATACTGTTAATAGTGTTAATGTAAGAAGATGCAATATTCATAAGAATAGGCATTGTGTTTTATCTATAAAACATAAAAAGCATATACAACTTTTTTTTTTAAATAGTTTCTGGGGAAGAAATGGCTAGAAGTGGAGCAAACAATCACAGCAGAATGAAACCCTCAAATAGGCTGGTTCCTCAGAATTCCTTTCAGCATGAGATGGCCCATAAGTGCTCTAGATAGCTGTTCCTCATGAGTCAGAAAGACAGGAGTCCTGGTGGGTTTTGTTCACAAGGAGATGACAGTAGAGCCATCTTGCTGAAAACATGGTTGGCACCTTGAAAAGGACACTGGGTTCATATACTTCCTTTTCTAATCACTTTTGGAAATTGCTTATTAACTGCTTTTCAACTATTATGAACCTTTGAATTGATAAGTCTAAAAACATCTGGGGAGTTTCCCTAAATACTTAGTCAAAGAAACTTTAAATACAACTTTAAGGACTTAAAAACATGTGTGTGTGTGGGGGAATAAACAGCAAAAGGATGATTAGAACTTCAATTTTAGAAAGTTACAAATGGATTAAGGGTCCAGATGGATTTGAAACAAAATTTTTGGAATTAATTATAAGAATCTTTCCCATGGGAAAATATTTATTTGAATTCTTTTTTTTAAATGATAGGATGGGACTTTGGGGGTTGGACAGTAGAGGGAACCAGAGGAATGAAAGGTTACAATTAAAGGAGAAGAACATTTAAATTCTAGTT